CTATGAATGAAAGGTCAACGTCACGGTTACCGTTAACAGCACCACTGTTGATGTTAACTGGTGATGTTAACTGTTGATGTTAACTGTTGATGTTAACTCCTCGTGTTGTCTTTGCTTGAGTCACAAGTGGCGCCCAGAGCATGCACATACTCCCCGCTGCATCATTCTCTTCAAGTACTGGTTTTCAGTACCTTCCATTTTACTTATCACCTCGTCCTACAGGCGAGCGATCACCTCTCCCTTGTGCAGTTGCAGTACACCCCTGAGTCCAGCCAACCCCATCAGCCCGCTCATTCTCAAACATGCCTACATAGTCTGTCCTCTTCAACACATCACTAACCAACTCCTACAGTTGGTGGATGTTATATGGTTTTGCTTGGCTATTTCATGCTGTTTATTTGTTGCTTTCTGAACATATGATGTTCATACCCAGGTCTTTTTTCTTCTTCTGACAGTACACATTGTTAAGGGGTACCAGTATCTTCTTCTTCTTTTGCTGTCTCACTGATACCAGGTTGTAGTCCAGTGTCGTGGTTTTTTTGTATTTATCTTGCGCTTTTTGGGTGGCTTGGGTTATGGATTTGTTCATCTTTTTTTATTGCAGGTTTTGGCAGGACTATTTATTGATCTCTTTCTTGGTCTCAGTGGGGTCTGTGGCTTAGGCGTTGCGAGTCTGACTCGTAATCCCAATGTACCAGGTTCGAAACCTAGCTGCGTTGATTTTTTAAAATGAGTACCAGGATGTATGTCCTGGGTAAGTAAAGTCAGCCGGTGTTATGCTGACCACATTTCCCACCTAGAGCCGACTGGCCTGTAAAAATATAGGTGCTCCTTCCATATGCCCGATGCGCTTAAAGGCGTGAAAAGGGCTCTTTGCTTCCTTGGTCTTCCTCTCTACTTTCTCCCAGATGCCCTGATATAAAACGTCTCATATGCAGTTTGACCTGGTTTCATTCTCACTAGATGACCGAACCATTTCATTCTTTGTCTGTCAATATAATACAGACATGGTCTTATTCTAACTTTCTCTCTAATGCTGGCATTCGTAACCCTGTCTGTGATCAGTAACTTTCTTAGGCATAATTCTTTTCTAGGCTACTGCAAAAGACACTTTTAGGTGAGCAACAGCACTATTTTTAATCACTTTTGGTGAGCAACAGCACTATTTTTTAGTCACTTTTGGTGAGCTACAGCACTATTTTAGTCACTTTTGGTGAGCAACAGCACTATTTTATTCACTTTTGGTGAGCAACAGCACTATTTTAGTCACTTTTGGTGAGCAATAGCACTATTTTAGTCACTTTTGGTGAGCAACAGCACTATTTTAGTCACTTTTGGTGAGCAATAGCACTATTTTATTCACTTTTGGTGAGTAACAGCACTATTTTAGTCACTTTTGGTGAGCAACAGCACTATTTTAGTCACTTTTGGTGAGCAACAGCACTATTTTAGTCACTTTTGGTGAGCAACAGCACTATTTTAGTCACTTTTGGTGAGCAACAGCACTAATTTAGTCACTTTTGGGTGAGCAAAAAGCACTATTTTAGTCACTTTTGGTGGAGCAACAGCACTATTTTAGTCACTTTGGTGAGCAACAGCGCTATTTTAGTCACTTTTGGTGAGCAACAGCGCTATTTTTAGTCACTTTTGGTGAGCAAAACAGCACTATTTTAGTCACTTTTGGTGAGCAACAGCACTATTTTAGTCACTTTGGTGAGCAAAAGCACTATTTTAGTCACTTTGGTGAGCAACAGCACTATTTTAGATACTTTGTGGTAAGTAACAGCACTATTTTAGACACTTTGTGGTGAGTAACAGCACTATTTTAGACACTTTGTGGTGAGTAACAGCACTATTTTAGACACTTTGTGGTGAGTAACAGCACTATTTTAGACACTTTGTGGTGAGCAACAGCACTATTTTAGTCACTTTTGGTGAGCAACAGCACTATTTTAGTCACTTTTGGTGAGCAACAGCACTATTTTAGTCACTTTTGGTGAGCAACAGCACTATTTTAGTCACTTTTGGTGAGCAACAGCACTATTTTAGTCACTTTTGGTGAGCAACAGCACTATTTTTAGATACTTTTTTATTAGTGTCAGCATCCATGGTTTAGGCGTAGCGAATGAGCTTCATAATTCCAAGGTTCCGGGTTTGATCCTAGCTGCAGGCGATCTGGCACCAGACCACCTTGCGTTAGTATCAACAGTGGTATCAAGAGCCGACCTTTTAGACAGTAATGACAAGCTACTGAATTTAAATTGCCAAATAAAATCTCTTTCTCTCTCTCTCTCACACACACACACACACACACACACACACACACATTGCTGGGGTTAATTCTGCAAACTGCTGTAAAGGATTTGTAACTACCTTTTGATAAAAGCCTTGCTCCTATCATTTGTTAAATGGACGTAAAGTGGTTGTGCTGCCAGAATGACTGCATCTAACTTCGAACCCTGTTATGTTGGAATTATGAAACCATGTTTACAACCACCACATCACAGACATAAAGAGTCATAGTGGTATAGTGGTTAGAAGTTCACCTGCTAACCTCAGAGTCTTAGGTTCACATCCGTATCGAATGAGATGTTTGTCTTCAAAAATGACCTGTAATGGGCACTAGGCAATGTTCTGGGAAGTAAAGGCGGTCAATAGGCCAAAAAGATATGTGTCTTGCTTCATTTTTCTGATATATCACTGGGATAAGGAGGGAAAAGGGTCCTTCCCTTTACTTTTTAGCCAAAGCTATAGGTTATATTTCGGCTCTGTGGCTAAGTCGATGCGAACGCTTCGCTTCGTAATGCCGGGATGTCAGGTTCGATCCCAGCTGCGGGCAATGCGCCTTGCGTTGGTTTCGACAATGATATCAAGAAAGCCGACCGTCCAGAGAGCAATGGCAAACTACTGGATATAAATTGCCTAGAGAAACCACACAACAGCCAGGGGTTGTTAGGGTTGGTTCTGCAACGTCCTGTAAAGGATACGCAACTAACTTTTTTTAATAGGTTATATATGTGCCCGTCTGTCCAGCGTAGTTGGCTAAACCGGATTGCGCGGTGAGCGGGTGACGAACTCCTTGTGGTCTGGGTTCACTCCCAGGGGTAGGCAGGAAAGCCACATATTCTCCCAGATTTACAGTATTTACAATGGAATGAAGACCGAAAGGTTGCGATATCCATAATACCGAGCCTAAGGGTTAACAACTCATGGCTTCTGGATACTCAAACAATAAGTAATATATAAATGCAAAAACAAACAAAGAGTTAAATACTGCACAATTCACCTACCATCCCTGCTAGGGCTCCATTTAGTGTGTTGAGAAAACTCCAAGTTCCTCCAAAGACTCCTATTCTGTTCAAATCATTAAAAAAGAAAAAAATAAGGTTCTATCCCAATATCTCCTCCCAAACACACAATTGAATATTTTAAGGGTTGGTAGGTAGGCTGCATGCAGTCGTGGGACCTAGGCTACATGCAGTCGTGGGACCTAGGCTGCATGCAGTCGTGGGACATAGGCTACATGCAGTCGTGGGACCTAGGCTACATGCAGTCGTGGGTCCTAGGCTACATGCAGTCGTGGGACCTAGGCTGCATGCAGTCGTGGGACCTAGGCTACATGCAGTCGTGGGACCTAGGCTACATGCAGTCGTAGACCTAGGCTGCATGCAATCGTGGGTCCTAGGCTACATGCAGTCGTGGGACCTAGGCTGCATGCAGTCGTGGGACCTAGGCTGCATGCAGTCGTGGGACCTAGGCGGTACTCTTTGGTGGGACGTACGTGGGTAGGGGTAAGGCCCAGTTCTAGATGTTTTGGGATAGTTAAAAGAATCAGAAAGCCGGGAAACCCACTCTTACGACCCTTGAAAATATTGGACTGTCATGTGACGTCATTCTGGGGGGGGGGGGGGAGGGGGGGGAGGGGATGTTGGGAAAGCATAAAGAATAATAAAAATATGAAACTCTATGCGCACATAATTACATACTAATTATCATTACAATATTAGATGTCAGGCAACAAAGCCAGGCATACGATACCACAATATCTAACTGTTTCTTCTTCTTGTTCTTGTTCTTCTATATTCATCCGAAAAGATGTATATGTATTATGCCTGCTTACAGCAGGCCTGCGATATTTGCAGCCATTCGTTGACCTAGTTAACCCTCCTGGCAACATCTAGTTTGAGAATGGAGGTGGAGGCACTCACAGCAACTCTCTCTGGCTTGAGAGCCAGCTGCACATACATGTCTTAGATTTTTTCAGGTGTTTTGAGAAACGAACAGGCATAAATATTGGCTGCTTCTACACCAATCAGTGGTAAACTGATGCATGGCAAGCTAGAGATGATCAAGCCCCTCTGGGAGACAGTAAACAGTGGTAAACTGATGCATGGCAAGCTAGAGATGATCAAACCCCTCTGGGAGAGACAGTAAACAGTGGTAAACTGATGCATGGCAAGCTAGAGATGATCAAGCCCCTCTGGGAGACAGTAAACAGTGGTAAACTGATGCATGGCAAGCTAGAGATGATCAAGCCCCTCTGGGAGACAGTAAACAGTGGTAAACTGATGCATGGCAAGCTAGAGATGATCAAGCCCCTCTGGGAGACAGTAAACAGTGGTAAACTGATGCACGGCAAGCTAGAGATGATCAAGCCCCTCTGGGACAGTAAACAGTGGTAAAACTGATGCACGCCAGCTAGAGACGATCAAGCCCCTCTGGAGACAGTAAACAGTGGTAAACTGATGAGCACGGCAAGCTAGAGATGATCAGCCCCTCTGGGAGACAGTAAACAGTGTTTTAAAACTGATGCACGGCAAGCTAGAGACGATCAAGCCCCTGGGAGTGACAGTAAACAGTGGTAAAAGACTGATGCACGGCAAGTCTAGAGATGATCAAGCCCCTCTGGGAGAACAGTAAACAGAGGTAAACTGATGCACGGCAGCTAGAGATGATCAAGCCTCTCTGGGAGACCAGTAAAACAGTGGTAAAACTGATGCACGGGCAAGCTAGAGATGATCAAGCCCTCTGGGAGACAGTAAACAGTGGTAAAACTGATGCACGGCAAAGCTAGAGACGATCAAGCCCCTCTGGAGACAGTAAAACAGTGGTAAACTGATGCACGGCAAGCTAGAGATGGTCAAGCTCCTCTGGGAGACAGTAAAAGAGTGGTAAACTGATGCATCGGCAAGCTAGAGATGATCAAAGCCCCTCTGGGAGACAGTAAACAGTGTAAACATGCATGGCAAGCTAGAGATGGTCAAGCCCCTCTGGGAGACAGTAAACAGTGGTAAACTGATGCACGGGCAAGCTAGAGACGATCAAGCCCCCTCTGGGAGACAGTAAACAGTGGTAAAAAAATGATGCACGGCAAGAGCTAGAGATGATCAAGCCCTCTGGGATAGACAGTAAACAGTGGTAAACTGATGCACGGCAAGCTAGAGATGATCAAGCCCCCTCTGGGAGACAGTAACATGGTAAACTGATGCACGGCAAGCTAGAGATGATCAAGCCCCTCTGGGAGACAGTAAACAGTGGTAAACTGATGCACGGCAAGCTAGAGATGATCAAGCCCCTCTGGGAGACAGTAAACAGTGGTAAACTGATGCACGGCAAGCTAGAGATGATCAAGCCCCTCTGGGAGACAAGTAAACAGTGGTAACTGATGCATTGCAAGCTATAGATGATCAAGCCCCTCGGGAGACAGTAAACAGTGGTAAACTGATGCACGGCAAGCTAGAGATGATCAAGCCCCTCTGGGAGACAGTAAACAGTGGTAAACTGATGCACGGCAAGCTAGAGATGATCAAGCCCCTCTGGGAGACAGTAAACAGTGGTAAACTGATGCACGGCAAGCTAGAGATGATCAAGCCCCTCTGGGAGACAGTAAACAGTGGTAAACTGATGCACGGCAAGCTAGAGATGATCAAGCCCCTCTGGGAGACAGTAAACAGTGGTAAACTGATGCACGGCAAGCTAGAGATGATCAAGCCCCTCTGGGAGACAGTAAACAAGTGGTAAACTGATGCACGGCAAGCTAGAGATGATCAAGCCCTCTGGGAGACAGTAAACAGTGGTAAACTGATGCACGGCAAGCTAGAGACGATCAAGCCCCTCTGGGAGACAGTAAACAGTGGTAAACTGATGCACGGCAAGCTAGAGATGATCAAGCCCCTCTGGGAGACAGTAAACAATGGTAAACTGATGCACGGCAAGCTAGAGATGATCAAGCCCCTCTGGGAGACAGTAAACAGTGTGGAAGCACAAATAGGTCATCACGGTCTGAAGAGAATGGTGCAGTTGGGGCGTGACCAAGGGGTCTAGTCGACTTTTGGGGGAAGGCAAGGCGGATTTGCAATCAGACTACTACTGGCACCATTGGAAGAGAAACCGGTGCTGGCTGCTGAAGGTGGGAAATCCGCACTAATGTGAATGTTCCAAGTGGTGAAACTTTTGATTCCTAGCTTAACTCAACTCATTATTACAACCTAGTAACGAGTAATTTGAGCCATGTAAATGCATTATGTCTGTTTCCAGCAGTGTTGAGATATTTGCAGGCAATTCGTTGACCTAGTTAGCCTTCCTGGCAACATCTAGTTTGTGAATGGAGGTGAAGGCAGTCACAGCAACAGACGTCGTTAATGAAGTGAATATAAGCAAATACATTGGGCAGCCAGTATAAACAACAGCGTGGATGTTAAGTGTGCCATTATCGTATGGAATATCACGTGTATCAGAAATGATTTGAGGTTGACGAGACAGGAGGCGAATATTTTTTTGCCTATTGCCAAAGACATAGACTTCTGAAGATTGTCGTCTTGTAGCTTCCTCGTCCTCTTGTAGCTGATTTTTTTTTAGATATAGTGCTTGTGATGGTATTTAATGCTGTTGCATTTTGCATTCTAACAAGATGGTCGGACCATAATGTTTTCTCAGTGTACAATAGAGTTTAGTATCCGTCAATCTATTGGTTTGACTGTCTGTATTCATCCATCCATCCGACTGTCTTTGTCTGTCTGGTTACTTGTGGGTTTATCTGTCAATCAATTCCCATTCACTCATCAACAGTTTATTCATCTATTCCCCTGTCCGCCCACCTGCCTGCCTGTCTGTCTGTCTTATAATGCACTTCCAGTTAGTTCGACCCTAGTCTCCCCATTTACACACTCTTATGCACTAGCTTACTTCTGATTGGTCGACCTTTAGTCTAGCTCACTTATGATTGATCGGCCTTGAGCCATGTTACCTTGCCACAAACTCACGGGGGAAGGGGGTGGGGGGGGGGGGGGGGGGGGGTTACCGCAATACCGTTGATATCGCGTGTTCTATATTTTAGCAAGGAAACTAAACAAGTGAGCGTGACACACCCGTAACCTCCAGGAAAGTCGACCAACAAAACAAAGTTGTCACTGAAAACTGACCTACTTTGTTTGGGAAGACTAACGGCGAACTAAATGCACTTCCATGTCCACCCAATCATCTATTCATTAACCTATCCACCCAATCATCTATCCATTCACCTATCCACCCAATCATCTATCCATTCACCTATCCACCCAATTATCTATCCATTCACCTATCCACCCAATGATCTATCGATTCACCTATCCACCCAATGATCTATCCATTCACCTATCCACCCAATGATCTATCCATTCACCTATCCACCCAATGATCTATGCATTCACCTATCCACCCAATCATCTATCCATTCACCTATCCACCCAATCATCTATCCTTTTACCTATCCACCCAATGATCTATCGACCAGCAAAACAAAGTTGTTACTGAAAACTGACCTACTTTGTTTGGGAAGACTAACGGCGAACTAAATGCACTTCCATGTCCACCCAATCATCTATCCATTCACCTATCCACCCAATCATCTATCCATTCACCTATCCACCCAATCATCTATCCATTCACCTATCCACCCAATCATCTATCCATTCACCTATCCACCCAATGATCTATCCATTCACCTATCCACCCAATGATCTATCCATTCACCTATCCACCCAATGATCTATCCATTCACCTATCCACCCAATGATCTATCCATTCACCTATCCACCCAATCATCTATCCATTCACCTATCCACCCAATCATCTATCCTTTTACCTATCCACCCAATCATCTATCCATTCACCTATCCACCATTCATCTTATTTCAATAAAGCAAACATCGACCCATCCACATAATTAATTATTCATCACTTCCCGACCACCATTGTATTCATTGATTTCCACCGATTTACCCACCCATTTATTCATTAAGTATGCACATAATATAAATATAGGGCTATCCTCCAAATAACGGGCACAAAAGATGGCGGCCGCAAAAACACCCTAACAGAGCCTCAGTCACGTGTCAATTGCGCACTTCCGACGACCTTATTTGCGGTTTTCCGGGCACTACCGCCACCACCGAGGGTATTCCCCACGCACTCACGCGGCGTGGATTGAGGCTAACTAGATGGCTGGGACTCACGAGCAGCAGCTTCCTTATCTCCTGCAGTTTTGCTCGTGAGTCCAAGCCATCTAGTGAGCGGTGTGGGGGGATACTCTCGGCGGTGGCGGTAGTCGCCGGAAAACCGCAAATAAGGTCACCGGAAGTGCGCAATTGACACGTGACTAAGGCCCTGTTTTTGGCCGCCATCTTTTGTGCCCGTTATTCGGAGGATAGCCTAAAATTGAACTTAACCAATCAGCCTCTTCTTTACAGAACGTCGCTCTCTTGACCGCTATGTCTATAAGTCTCTCTTTTTCTAGCCAATACTCCAGCCTTGCATGCCTTCACAACCAAATCATCTTTACTTCTCTGTATCCACCTTCCCCGTGGTCGGCCTTTGCCTCGTTTTACGGAAACTGTACCCTCCACCAATATTCTCGCGGGACCACTTTCGCACTTGACATGTCCAAAATACCCCATTCTTTCGATAAAGGATCATGTTTACGTACCAGTTCTCCTTGTTGTTCACTTCATGCAGGATGTCGACGATATAAATATATCATCATCATCATCACGTAGCAGGTCCTTTGCAGAACGTCGCTCTCATCACAGTCTGCCTGAAAGAAACTCGGTCTCTTGCCAGTTCTCCCGTCTCATGCACTTTCCCACTCAAGGAGTCACTTATATCCTGTGCCTATCTTCATGTCGGTCGGCCCCACCCCTCCTTCCTGGTACCATACCTTCTGCTATAATTTTTTTCCAATCCGTCGTGGCGCTTGATATGACCAAAATATTTCAGCTTTCGAGAAAGGATGCTGTTTATTAGCCAATCTTCCTTGATGTTCAGATCTTTTAAGATGTCAATATTTCTCATCTTCTTTGTCCAAGATATTCAAAGAATCTTTCTATAGCATTTCAGCTCAAAAGCCCCTATTCTCTTTCTTAAGGACTATGAATATAAATATATGGTGTATCATAATAGATAAAAATGTAAATTTACAAACAGAAGTAGAAGAAAAATGTACCTGCGAATGATGAGGGAAACAATAGCCGCTGTACTGCCGGATATACAAGTGTTGACTACAGCCAGACCAATAATGGCTCCATCGTCTTCATGGGACACAGTCAGCCTTGACCCACCGTTGAAGGCCAAGAAGCCGAAACACAGAATGAACCCGCCCAGGGCAGTGAACTAGGAAAGGCAATAATTGTAAAGGTCAGCGTGTGCTGGCTCGTGTATGTTTATAAGTTCAACCGTTTGGGGAATGGACGTATGGGAATTTCAATAACCATATTGTCAATCGTCATGAAGAACTACTATTTCAGCCAACACCATTACTGCTACTGATACTACAGGGGTGATCAGGTGGCTGGGGAGTAAGATAAAGAGGAGTGGAGAACAGTAGTACACCAGACAACGAAGAACAAGATGCGAAGAAGAAGAAGAAGAAGAAGAAGAAGAAGAAGAAGAAGAAGAAGAAGAAGAAGAAGAAGAAGAAGAAGAAGAAGAAGAAAGAAGAATGAAGAAGAAGAAGAAGAAGAAGAAGAAGAAGAAGAAGAAGAAGAAGAAGAAGAAGAAGAAGAAGAAGAAGAAGAGGAGGAAGAAGGTGAATAGGGAAAAGATTCAGAAAAAGAAGAAGCAGTATATAAAAATTGAAGAAGGAATAATTTGCGATCCACTGCACGCTGGTTGGCACTGACCATTTTCATGCCGCGAAGGCTTAAAGTGTCTTTAATGTTGTCGATCCATTTTTAGTGGCTGTCCTCTTGTAGCTGATCTTCTTAAATTAACTGCTTGTGAAAGTACTTGATCCTGTTGCATAATAACAAAATGGTCGAACCATTTCATCTGCTGTTTTTCGGTGAATATAGTACAAGGTGTCGTTCCCACAATCTATCTTATAATATCCTTATTAACTCGATATTCCATTAACAGAGGAAAATCCATAAACCCTTTCATGAACGTACACCTTTACAAAACATGAATCAATTTCTCTACGACCTAATGTTTGTCACAACTGCTCACTCGTGCTCCCTTTCAAAGGTCGATATATTTGAGCCATGCACGCTGCGCTTGAGTGATCGGGTGTTTGTTTCAGTTCTGCTCCCACACAGGACATTCCCACTGTTCTACTGATGGAATCGGTTACAGTCAATCAAATTGCGGAGTTATCGTGACCTCAGCACCCAATCAAACCGTTAGAAAATTACAGGGAATTAACTGGAATTTCAGTTGGCATCAGTGGCTTAGGCGTTGCGAACGCGCTTGTCAATCTCAAGGTGCCGTATATAAACACAAAGTGTCACCATGCGGAGGAGGATCACCAGTGGAGAGATCCCGGAAACCTCGTTCAACAGTTGGATGATATTAGGGACCCGGCAAAAGCCGGGGTGGGGCTTCAAAATAGCGAAGAATAACGTCCCATTTGGGAACGACGTTAGTTAAAACGTCCAAGTCCATGTACAAACAAACACTGGACTATTTATATTCAAGGTAAAACTATATTTGTATGTAACGTGTACCCCACCAGGACATCACACTAAGCGATAAACACCCACTGACACAAAGTGCCACCATGTCAATAAGGATCACCCATGGAGAGGTTCAAGAAACCTCTTTCAGCCGTTAGGCCATATTTATGGCCGGGCTATGTGCAGGGACCCCGGCAAAAGCCAGGATGGAGCTTCAAATAACGAAACATTGGGTCCCACATGGGAACGGATGGTTAAGGTAAAGCGTAGTAGTACTTTTACCCCACTAGGACATCCAACAAGCGATAAACACCCGATGACACAAAGTGCCAACATGTGAATGAGGATCACGCGTGGAGGGGTCCCGGAAACCGCGTTCAGCCATTAGACCATAATAATGGCCGGGCTATATTGCGGCCCCTGGAAAAAGCCAGAGTGGGCTTCAAATAACGAAAAATTGCATCCCTCAAAGAGGATGACAAGATAGCTGCAAAAAAGAGGCTTTTAAAGGTAGTTAAAACTTCCTTTACCAGGCAATTGTAACCAGCAATCACATATGGGTAATAATGGTGAACAAATAGTTACTCCGATACTGGTTAAAACTTTCTGATGTGAAATTTGATGAGTAGAACACAACCCAGACACTCATTAGTTCCTGCCGTCAGTATATCATTGCACACAGACGCCGGTGATTCATTGAGCAATTACTTCTTTGTAAATATATTTAGTTTGTCCATCAATCATATTGCCTAGTTATTTATCTGTGATCATTATTTGCCGTTGCTAGCTTTGATCATTACTAACATTGTTTCCTTTTGGCAAATATAATGCATAATCTTCCCGACTTAGGACCGAGTTCTGTTTCGACCAATAGGTCGGAAGTCGAATCCATGTGTTTCAAGGCTATATTTACTCGAGCAGGTTGAACAATGAACAGGGCACTTGAACAGAAAATAACTTTATGTTGAACAGGGAACTAGAACATACAATAACTATATGTTGAACAGGGAACTAGAACATACAATAACTATATGTTGAACAGGGAACTAGAACATACAATAACTATATGTTGAACAGGGAACTAGAACATACAATAACTATATGTTGAACAGGGAACTAAAACATACAATAACTATATGTTGAACAGGGAACTAGAACATACAATAACTATATGTTGAACAGGGAACTATAACATACAATAACTATATGTTGAACAGGGAACTAGAACATACAATAACTATATGTTGAACAGGGAACTAGAACATACAATAACTATATGTGAAATAAGCTGTCATCGTAAGGTTACTAACAACATAAAACGAGACAGGGTTACGAATACCAGCATTAGAGATACAATTGTAATAAGACCATGTCTGTATTAAAGATTAACTGACCGAATCATTGAGTTACTCAGTAACTGATTAATTATTTGTGGTTGGCACCTTTTCGTCGTTCCAGACAAAAGTGTTATACTGTGCTACCATGAAGCATGGGACTCACAGCCCATGGCGATGGCGAGTGTGACTAGGACTAATTAACTGACTGTTGAACAATACTTATTAAACTGACTAATTA